TATCTTGAACTGTTTTTGGTTTTTTTTGAGATAAGAGTCTTACTCTGTTGCCCTGGCTAGAGTGCCATGGCGTCTAGCTCACAGCAACCTCAAAGGCCTGGGCTCAAACAATCCTCCTGCCTTAGCCTCCTGAGTAGTTGGGACTACAGGCATGTGCCACCATGCCCGGCTAATTTTTTCTATATATTTTCAGTTGGCCGATTAATTTCTTTTTTTTTTTTATTAATTTCTTTTTTTTAATTTTATCATATTATGGGGGTACAAATATTGTTAGGGTTACATATATTGCCCCTGCCATTCCTCCCCCTACCCCCCTTATTCAGGTTTTAGATTTCTCCCTGGTTCAATCTTGGTAGGTTGCGTGTGTCTAGGAATTTATTCATTTCTTCTAGGTTTTCCAATTTATTGGCATATAGTTGCTCATAGCAGTCTCTAACTATCCTGTGGATTTCTGCAGTATCAGTTATAATATCTCCTTTTTCATCTCTGATTTTTTTTATTTGTGTCTTCTCCCTTTTTTTTTTAGTCTTGTGAAAGGTGTGTGTATTTTGTTTATTTTTTCAAAAAAACAACTTTTTGTTTCAATGATCTTTTGTATTGTTTTGGGGGGGTATCAATTTCATTTATTTTTGCTCTGATCCTTATTATTTCTTCTTCTAATTTTGGGTTTGGTTTGCTCTTGTTTTTCTAGTTCTTTGAAATGCATCATTAAGTTGTTTATTTGAAGCTTTTCTACTTTTTTGATGTAGGCATTTATTTGGTATAAACTTTCATCTTATTACTGCTTTTACTGCATCTCATATGTTTTGATATATTGTGTTTTCATTTTCATTTTTTTTGAGAAATGTTTTTAATTTCCTTCTTAATCTCTTCATTAATCCACTGGTCATTCAGGAGCATATTGTTTAATTTTCATGTGTTTATACATTTTCCAGTGTTCTTCTTGCTATTGATTTCTAGTTATGTTACACTGTAGTCAGAGAAAATATTAAATACTTGGTATGATTTCAATTTGTTTGAATTTGAGACTTGTTTTGTGGCCTAACACATGGTCTATCCTTAAGAATGATCTATGAGCTAGGGAGAAGAATTTGAATTCTGCAGCTGTTGGATGAAACATTTTGTAAATATCTATTAGGTCCATGTGGTCTACAGTGCAGATTAAGTTCAATGTTTCATTGTTGATTTCCTGTCTGGACAATCTGTCCAATGCTGAAAATGGAGTGTTGAGGTCTCTGACAATTATTGTATTGGGGTCTACCTCTCTCTTTAGCTCTGATAATATTTGCTTTATGTATCTGGGTGCTCCAGTGTTGGGTGCGTATATATTTAGAATTATTGCATCTTCTTGCTGAATTGACCCCTTTATCATTATATAATGACCTTTGTCTCTTTTTACAGTTTTTATCTTGAAATCCATTTTATAGAAGAATGGCTACTTCTGCTCTTTCTTAGTTTCCATTTGCATGGAATATCCTTTTCCATCCCTTTATTTTCAGTCTATGTGTGTCCTTATAGGTGAAGTGTGTCTCCTGCAGACCATATAGTTGGTGCTTGTTTTTTTTTTAATCCATTCAGCTACTCTATATCTCTTGATATAGAAAGTTTAGTCCATTCAATGTTACTATTGATAGGTAAGGACTTATGACTGCCATGTTGTTATTTGATTTCTGGTTGTTTTGTGGGCCTCTCTTTCTTTCTTACTTCCTCCCTTTTTTCCTTTGTTAAAAGTGATTTTCTCTGTGGTGTGTTTTAATTTCTTTTTATTTTTTGTATAGCCATTGTAGGGTTTTTTTTTATTTGAGGTTACCAAGAGGCTTGCAAAAAAACATTTTATAACCAATTATTTTAAACATATGAGAACTCTGCTTACAAACAAGCAACAAGAAATCTAATAGAAACTCTACCCTTTAACTCCATCCACCTCCCACCACTATTTAACTTTTTGTTTTTTTCATCCATATCTTTTTATACTATCTATCGTTCAAAAAGGTGTTGTTATTATTTTGACAGGTTTGTCTTTTAGTCTTCCTACTCAAGATATAAGTGGTTTATACACTGCAATTACAGCAATAGAGCATTCTGTATTTGTGTTCTTACTGTCACCAGTGAGTTGTGTACCTTCAGATGATTTCTTATCATTCATTAACATCCTTTTCTTTCAGATTGATGAACTCCTTTTAGCATTTCTTATAGTGCAGGTCTGGTATTTGATGAAATCCCTCAGCTTTTCATATGTCTGGGAAAGCCTTTATTTCTCCTTCATGTTTAAAGGCTGTATGTGCAGAATATAATATTCTAGGGTTAACGATTATTTTTTCCTTCAGCACTTTGAATATGTCACAACACTCTCTCGGCCTGTGAGGGTTCCACTGAGAAGTCTGCTGCCAGACATATTAGAGCTTCTTTATATGTTATTTTTTTCTTGTCTCTCGCTTTCCTTCAGACTCTTTCTTTATCCACAACCTTTGGGAGCTTCATTATTAAATGCCTTAAGGTAACCTTGTTTGGGTTAAGTCTTCTTGGTGTTGTTCTATGACTGTCTTGTGCCCCAAAGTGGATATCTTTCTCTGGGTTTGAAAAGTTCTATATTTCCTTGAATAGATTTTCTACCCCAATCTCTCTCTCTATCTCCTCTTTAAGGCCAATAACTCTTAGATTTGCTCTTTTGATGCTATTTGTAGATCTTGTAGGCATGCTTCATTCTTATTTATTCTTTTTTATTTTTTCTCTTCTTTGTATATTCAAATAGCCTGTATTCAAGCTCATTAATTCTTTCTTCTCCTTGGTCAATTCTGCTGTTGAGAGACTCTGATATATTTCTCAGTTTGCCAAATGAATTCTTAAGTTCTAGAATTTCTGCTTGATTTTTTATTATTATTTCAAACTCCTTGTAAATTTCTCTGATAGGCTTCTGAATTTCTTCTCTGTGTTGTCTTAAGGTTCACTGAGCTTCTTCAGGACAGTTATTTTGAATTCTTTGTCTGAAAAGTCACCTATCTCCATCACTCCAGGATTGATCACTGGTATCTTATTTAGTTCGTGTGGGTAAAGTCATGTCTTCCTGGATATTCTTGATGCTTGAGTATATTCACTGATGTCTGGGCACTAAAGAGTTAGGTCTTTATTTTAATCTTCACAGTCAGGGCTTGTTTAAACCCATCCTTCCTGAGAATGCTTTCTAGATAGTCAAAGGGAATTGAATGTTGTGGTCTGAGTCTTTAGTCACTGCACATATCAGCACTAGAATTGCTCCAAGCCCGGTAATGCTGTGACTCTTGCAGACAGACACCTGGCAGTTCTACTTTGGTGAGCTTGAGTAAGATACAAGAGAATTCCCTGGATTACCAGGCAAAGTCTCTCACTCTCTGTGCTGCTGCCAGAGTTGGGAGAGGAGCAACGTGGGCAACTACTTGTGGCCACCAGTACCAGGTCACACCTAAAACCTGCCCACTGTCACCCAAAACCAGTGATGACTGTTGCCTGGCTACCTCTGAGGTGTATTCAAAGACCAAGGGCTCTTTAGTCAGCAGGCGATGTATCCTGCCAGGACTGGGTCCTTCCCTTTAGGCCAGCATGTTTCCTTCTGGCCCAGGTAGGTCTAGAAATGCCATCCAAGAAGTAAGGCCTGGACTCAGGGACCTCAGGAGTCTGTTTGATACCTTATTTTACTGTGGCTGAGCTGGTACTCAAGTTGCAAAGCAAAATCCTCTAAGCTCTTCCCCTTCCTTTCCTCAAGTGGAAGATGACTCTCCCTGAGCCATGCTGCTTGTAGTTGGGGGAGGGGTGACACAGGGACACAGGAAGTGGTTTGGCCACTGTTGCAGTTGCTGGAGTCTCACTGGGTCATGTGCACCCCAAGTCCACTGGCTCTGAGCCAACACAGCCACAGAAATTGCCAAAGGACTGCAGCCCTTGTGGCCCGACTGCCTTGTGAATTCAGTCTAGGCTCCAGGCTATTCTTTGTCTGCTGGTGGTGGGGCTAGCAGGAACTCTGGGCTTCAGGGCTGGTGAAAGTGCTCCTCTGTGGGCACCAGCAGAATTGTGCCCTGTGCTGTGTTCCCCTGTGCAGGGCGGCCCTGAGTTCGAATTCAAAACCCCATGATCACTTTACTCTTCCTCCCTCGGACACACAGATTCTCTCTCCACTGCTGGGGGATGGGGGAGGGGCGGCACGGACAATGCAAGTCTGTCTTTTCTGCCCTTCTTTAGTGTCTTTCCTTGACATAATGTTAAAACCAGGTAGTATGATCGCTGTGTTTTGGTTCTTCTGAAGGTGCTTGCTTACGTGGATAGTTGTTGAATTTGGTGTTCCTGGGGAGGAATGATAGCTGCAGGTTTCTATTTGGCCATCTTGCTCCACCCCCTTCCAGGAATCCATATTTTTAATAAGCATCCTGGATTAGCCAGGCAAACACTAAAACCTTCTAATACAGCTCTGGACTCTTAGAAATGCACTGGCCATTCGGGTCTGAGGTACATCATGATATTTACCAACATGGTATAAATACTTGCAAGATAATATACATTGCAAACTAGAGTAAGCCCAGAGCATCTTGGTTAACTCCATGGGGTTCACAAGAATCCACAAGAATAGGGCAGCAAAATCACCTTCTTCTCCTCTCCACTCTTTTGGGTTTCCACAAACTTTCCAACTGCTGAGAATTTTTCACATTCATTTTTATTTCTCCCTCATCTGTCCCTTTCACAAAGCTACTTGGAGAACAAGAATAAAGAAGAGAACTGTTCTAGACCTGCATGTCCACTAACTCTCATCTCCCTAAGATCCCCACAGGATCCCACAGGATCTCAGGAAGGGTAGAGTTTCCCTGGTTTTATAAATGGTAACACTGAGGCTCAGGGAAGATAAACGTGAACTGCCTGCTTGACCACTCAGATCCCCAGCTGCTGCATGCAAAGCTTTGGAGCCATATTGCTAATAAATATGTCATTTCAAAAAATGGGTCCTAGTTCTCAGTCCAACAGGAAGAGTCACTTACTTGTAGGTTTTGGACCTATCGAGCCAGATGCCTGAGATCACAGCCCCGAGCATTCCTGCAATGACGATGGTCAGGCCAATTCTTCCAGCATTCACCTCCTCACCCTGGGAAAGGAAGCCACAGCCTCAGAGATGACCCAGCGATGGGAGAAAACGTGGGCAGAGTGCAGTCACCGTGGGGCAAAGGTGCAAAGGCAAGTAACCTGGGCTCCATTACAGCCAATATTTAAAAAGTATCAGGACAAGACGGCCTGTAAGAAGATGGCCTGGGAGAAAAATCCTAGAATAGTTGTTCTTCCCAACAATGTAACCCTGGATGTATGTGCATGATGTCATACTAGATGGTGGAGTGACAGGGATGAACCAAATTCTGTCCTTAAAACCACTTTGGGGCAGATTTTTTTAGAAAAATTTACCCTTACAGTAACTCTTCTGTCTTATTTATCACTATTCCCATTTATTATTCCATTATTCCCATTTATTATTCCATTATTCCCATTTTTCCCACAGATGGGGAAATTAAAATATATATGTCCAAATATTCCAGTCTTAGGGTTTTGGCTATCAGTGCCAAAAGGAATAGGAAAACAATATTTACATATTTTTGAGTGCTTACTATGAGCCAGGCACCATGCCTAAGATTTTACATCATGATCTCATTTAATCCTCACAGTTCCCCATCATAAGGTTAGGAATCAGTCCTCCTTCCCATTTTACATGTGAAGAAACTAAGGCACAATGAGATAAACTTTCTAGCCCAAGGTCACAAGGCATATATTAAATTGAAAGGTAGGATTTGAACTCAGACCTGTCAAAGTCCAAAACTGGAACACTTAGCCACAATGGCCTACTTCCTTTACATGTGTGAGATCCTAGCCTTTCTAAAGAGGGGTAGACCTAGGTGTTCCTGACTCTGGGACACTCAGTATCCCATTCCTAGTATCTAGCCCTCACTGGTTTTGGAAACATTTAAATCCAAAAATATGAGATATATACATAGACACACACACACGATTATATAGATATATGTACCAACTGTGTTACTAGGAACCATGCTTTACATATATCATATATAATAAATATAATATGAATATATATACATGTGCACATATTATTTACTCTCTAGTCCCAAAAATAATTTTGCAAGAAGTAATTATGCTTCTTTTGCAGAAAAGAGAATGAGAACTCAGAGATGCTAACTAGCTTATCACACAGTCAAATCATCACACAGTTTAGGGCCCCCGAAGCTAGGGTTGAAACCCAAGGCCATCTGCCTCCAACTTCCATAAGCTCACCACCAAACCATGCTGCCTAGAACTTGGGGGGTAGAGGGAGCCAAGAGTTAACCATCACCCCAGCTCCTGCCGAGACAGACTTAGAAACCACATTATCTCTAGGCCCAGCCTGCTCAGGGAGCTCCCTTACCGGGTAGTGCAAGATCACCATACGATTCAGCAGAGTGGACAAGGCATAAAAAGCACCAGCATTCAGACCTGAAGGAGGGAGGGAGAAATACAACATTAGGGTGAGCCTTCTCCTGGGGCCATCGCTGACTTCTCCCCGCACCAGGGGTTAGGGAGGTCAGGAGTCCTCCTCCCCACTGCCACTCAGCGTGGTGTCCCAGAGGAAAAAATACAGGGATGCATGAAGCTACTCTGCAGTTCTTCTCAAAGAAATACTTCAAAACAACCAAAGGTAACCATTTTAACCTTTTCTTAGCCACATACCATTGCCCTTTGATTCTCTTTAACCTGCCCTGGAAAATAGGCTCTGCAAGTATTATTCCAAGGTCTGAATCAGCTACGTTCTTCTCTTAAGATTTGGCTGGATCTATGGGGTGGTCAGTAGACTACTGGACACCCTCCCTCAGCACCCCATCCTCTTTTATTCTGCTCCAGACTCTGACGCCTAACCCGTCCCTTGCAGGTTCTTTCTCTCCATTCCTCCAACTTTTCTTTCCACACAAAATCTATTATGTGAAACTAGAAAAGACCCTAAAGAGCATTTAGTTGACTCTCCTACTTTACCGATTCATTCATCAAATAAATGGAGCACCTAGAATATACTGTAAGAGCCTGTGTCCTTACAGAATGAGGCCATTTGTCCAAAGCTATATAGTGAGTTAGCAGCTGAAATGACACTGGAAATGACTCAAAAGAGAAAAGGCCTTCTGGCCTACCTTCACTAACCCATGATGGTGGTGGTGGGGATGATGGTAGCAGCACATATTTATGTACCAGACACTGTTCTATGCACCTTACAATCTTTTTAACAACCCTAGAAGGTAATTAGTATTATCTGCATTTTATAGATAAGAAAAATACAAACAGAGCTAAAAAATAAACCAAAAAATCAAATACAGTCATTCCATAATGCCTACCGGGGTCTTTTTAACTGAACATTGAGGCTCACAAGACCACCACCAGCACACTTGACATTGGATTCACTCGGAAGGGTATAAGACAGGACACACAGCTTGTGGGCAGGGCAGCCACAGAACCAGTCCATCGAGTCCCCCAGAGGCTATTCTATTTGGCCCCCAGATGATAGCTACGGCACAAGGAAAAGTAGGTATGGCAACCACCCTGGTTTGACACCTCACAGGCATCACTACTGCTTACAACAATTCCACAGGCATAGGTTCCAGCGTCTCCATAAGGGACAGGCCAGTGAAAGAGTCACTGTACTCGGGGAAGCACAAAGAATGGCTTCCTACCAGTTAATGAATAGGTCTCTGTCCACTTTTATCACAAGAGGTCATTTTTATCATAAGCAATGTTGCATAAATGCAGTTGATGTACTCCCTTTATCTGGTTCCCAAGGGTACTAGATACAAAGTGAAGCGAAGGTCAAATTCTCATGCAAAATGGGAAAGAATGTGTTATATGAGCACACAGGTATGAAGTGGTAGAACTGGATTTGAACCCAGGCCCTGTGGCTCTAGAGTCCCTGATCATAATCTCTCTACTTTATAACCTCACAAAGCTGATTCTCAAAACAAGGATTTCTCCAGCTCAGATCACTCAACAATTTCCTCAGGTGCCAGCCTCTCCCAGCAGGTCACCCCAGGGATGCAACAAAGCTGGGCTCAGTGCAGCCCCCAAGTAGCCCACAGGGCCACAGGGGACCAGCAAACCCAGGCATGTCACCGAATGTGAGCATGGCTGCCAGGCTGATGGTCATGATGACTGTGGGATCTCAGCAAGGCTGTGCTCAGCAAGCACAGCCGTCCAACTCCCCTACCACGCACTCAGCCCCAACAAACTCCATTCCTGAGTCAAGAGGCCCCATAAGGAGACACATTCCTGAAAAGGGAGGGTGAGGTGGAGCGGGGAATAGGGAAGAATGAAGAAAACAACCTCCTCCCCTCTCTAGGCCTCTTGTCCTCGCCTGGCATTGCAACAGGCAAGGAATGTTCCAGGTCAGGCTTAGCTTCAGGCCCCACCTGGGATGAACAAGGAGGGGAGAATCCACAGGAAACAAAGACAAATTATCCAGAAGGACTGCGAGGAAAACATACACCAGCACTTTCATGACCCTGAAGATGGCCTAGGGAATGGAGTCCCCAGAGGGCTGACCCACACTGCTAAGGCTGAGTGGTTTTTCTAGGACTCAGTGGTTTAGTGAAATCGTTTCCAAATGTAGTCTGTCTCACCCCAGACCTACTGCAGCAGAGCCCTTTGGCAATCTATGTTTGGACAAGCCCCCCAGGTGGTTTTCTGACAGTGCTCAGGTTAGAAGTGCTGGCTCGGCTACGCCAGTGTGGTACCCCAACAGCCATTCCCTGCTGCCCGCAGGACAGGAGACTGAATGGGGGCTGGAGGGGAGAGGGAGGAGGAGGAGGAGTTCCCCCTAGAAGGCAGCCAACCCTTTCCACCGTTTCTGTAGTCCCACCCTAGGGGAATTAGGAACTTATGCATCTTTTCTGACTCAATCTTCAGTCTAGATGTCCCTCCCCATTATTGTCAAAGGCTGCCAGACAGGGTCAACCAGTGTAAGTCCACTCCACTGCCCAAACCAAGGGCATCCTACATGGAAGGGCAGGAATGGAATGCATGCTCTGCCCTGTATGAGCACCTTTTACAGGAATACAAGTAACTGAGTCATATTCAGGTCTCATTGTCCTTGGCAAGGTGAACCTGCTGGGTCAGAGAAACTGACCTCCCCTGAAGGACCTGGTCATTTCTGGTATCAGTCCCCTGGGGGAAGTCCCAGTTACTTAAGAGTCAGGCTTTAGGAAGGCGGAAAAGGCCCTGAAATCACCCGGAGTATCTTTCTCTCCTTTGTCAAGAACAATTTTTTTTAAAACTATGGTCTGGAGATTACTGACATTAGAATTCCTTAAAGTTTAAAAATGCAGATTTCAGGGCCCTACCCTAGATCTACTGAATCAGAATCTCCTGGAACGGGGCTTAGGAATCTGCATTTTTAGCAACAACAACAACAAAAAACAGGCATTTCTTAAAATCTCTGGAGTTTGGGAATAAATGGCCTAGGGAATGCAGAAGATCAGAGGCCAGACCCAGGCTCCCAGGTGCTGGGTCTCACGTGGAGGCAGCTGGGATGGGAAGAGGCCACGAGAATGACCCATCACACAGCTGCTTCTGAGGTTCTCAACTGTGCTGCAAATCAGACTCAGCTAGAATGTTGATAAAAAGCAGGTTCCCAGGCCCCAACCCAGGTTTTCTGATTTCAAATTTTTAGAAGAGAGATAAAGAAATCTATGCACACATTCAATCAAGCATCTCAGGGAAGCTTGGGAAACACTGACCTCAGATCCTATCTCTGGGTTCTGGTTTCTCTGCGATTCCCTTTTATCCTTTCTGAGTTTGTAGCAAAGCCTTGTTTTGCAGGGCCAGCCTTGTTTTGCAGGCCTCAGCAAAGCTCCCGGGAATCAGGGGAAGGATTTTATACCCACTCTGAAGCCAGGGTCTTGGACGGGGCATAGAGCCCCTCCCTAGGCCTCTGTAGGTGGGACAATGGGAAAGCACTTGGGAGCCCCAAGGGAACCTGTGGATACACAAGCTGAGGCTCTGAGTTCAAAAGCCAGACAGACACACGGGAAGATTATTCACAGCTGGAGCCGAGGCTGGGGGATGACATGGGAAAGGTATCCCCTTTGAGGACATTCCCTACAACAGGAGCCTTTTCAATATTCTTTTTAACATGGTAGTTGTTATGCACACTGCTGAAAGGACATTAGAGGGGGGCATGTGATGCAGGACCCAGAGACACAAAGAGAAGACAGCCAAAGGAAGTTTCCTTTCTTCACCTCACCCCACTGCACACATCACAAGCCCCACCCTGTCCCAGATGTTGACAGAGTGATGGAATTTCTGGTCTGAGTCTGATGGAATTCCAGTCCTGAGTTTTCCTGCATTGCCAAACTTAGAGGAGGGAGGGAATTTTACTAAGGAAGTGGAAGTTTCTTATTGCTGATATTTCAGCAACATTAAGCACAAACCCAACCCCTGCCTCTCCTGTAAATTGGATTGCCAGATTTATGGGAAACAAAACAAATCAACACACTCAATTAAATTTGAATTTCAAATAAGTCAATAAATTTTTAGTATAAATGTACCCCAAATATTGTATGAGATATGTTTATACTAAAAAGTATTTGTTGTTTATCTGAAATTCCAATTTAACTGGATAATCTTATCTCTCAACCCTACCCCTAAGGGTGTGGCCAAAAGCCTAGGGAAAGGCCAGCAACACTTGGACCCTGGATTTCCTCCAAGGCCTTCAATTATCACTACACCTCCGCTCTGTGCAGCCGACTCAGTAGCATGAAGACCCACTTGGAAAGTGCTACAAATACAATACCACCTGCTGCAGGAGAGCTACCCCCTACTTGGTGGAAATCTACTTCAGACCAAAGAAAGAATGCTGGAAATCAGCAAGTTTTCCAACACAACAGCAATTCAGAGGCATGCCGTGACTTTACTCTGTATTGCATTAAAAGCTTTCACTTCCATTCAGAGCACTCGTGGGGAGTAGAGAGATGTGGGATGGGCACAGAATGACTCAGTAGTTGGCAGAGATAACACCAAAACCCCAGACCTCCCATTCTTATGAGCCAACTCTGGACTCACGGGACCAGCACCCAAGACTCTTACCCCCAGGTGGGTCTACCCACATCCAGCACATGTGCCCATGAAATGCTGTCATCTGCTTGATTCCCAGCTACCTGCTCTTAAGTGCATATAATTCAGAGCAAAATATGAACACCATATGTACAAAGCAAAAAGTATGAACCATTTCATTCTTTAAAGCCCAACCTGAAACTGCAAAGGGATTGGGAGGCTTAGATAAATTCTGGGGGATTTCAAAGCATCTAGTTGAATTTATAGAGGGCTTTTGGGGTTTTTTGGTTGTTTGTTTGTTTGTTTGTTTGTTTTCATTTTGGACAAAAAGGAAGAAGAAAGCAAAGATTCTCAGGTGGAGTGAGTGCCAAACGCTGCCTTTATATGACCTATAAGCCTTAGACACA